TCTATCCAAATTTTCAATCTGAAAGTTTTTAGCTTTGTATTTTTATTTATTTTTTTTTTTTTTGACGATCCATCATTCAAAAAATATTATAATGAATAATTCTATAAGGAAACAGAAAAAAAAACTAAGCTTACTAAAACTATATTTGTTAATAACCATTGGATGAAATGCAATGAGGTTATTTTAAAATTATGAACTAGTGGACATGTTCGTAAAAGTATCTTAAGACATGTCTGAAGATATATTTTAGGACGCACTAAGATATATCTTAGAATGTAAACCAAAGCAAACTTAGACTATTAAGTAACGACTTCTTATGTTGAGTTATTTATTTCCTTTTCCAAAAATAAGTTAAAAAATATATTCGAAAATGAAATTCTTATATCTTTTAACATAATCTTTTTAAAATGCACACTTAAATACACAATTACATGTCCAAATACGTGTACTGTGTTGATATTTCATTTAATTACTAGTATTTGATTCGCCAGTGATATGGCTTTTGATTCTATTCGCATGCATCGATAGAAACAGCACCGTTCCAATATTCTCTTAGGCAGATAAGCTTCAATATCTATGTAGATTTTGGAGATCAAGTCTTCCAACAATGGGTTCCAAAATGCGCCCCTTTATAAGCAGATCCATTTTTATATTCATATGAAGCAGAATTTATTTTAAAAAAAACTTCTACATGAGAAGAAGAAAACACTTGCTGTCGCCTTCAACTCGATCGACATTAAGATATATCGACGACGTATTTATTTACCAATTAACAATAGTTACTTCCATTCACATGTCGACTCGATATATTCCAGTGAACTTGAAATAAAAAAGAACACAGAATCTGTTTCATATTTGGATAGTTTAATTACTAGAAAAAGATTTTAATGGTAACCTTCCCTTATTTATGTAGCAATATACCATTATCACCAGCATATGGATTTTGTGTCTCCCAGTTGATTCGATACGCAAGAGCATGCTCTACGTACGGACATTTTTTAAAACGAGACAAGCTATTAACCAACAAGTTGATGAAACAAGGATATCAACAGTCTCGTTTGAAGTCAACATTTTCGCAAGTACTATGGTCGATACAATGACCTTGTCAGCAAATACAATCTATCATTAAGTTGAATGCTGACTGACGTTTTATTGTTAGACCATTATTTACACTCTGAATTGTCTACGGATTTTTCCGTTTGCTCGATCATGACAATGAGCACATGGTGGGAGAGACTGGTCGACAGGGGATGCTTACTCGTCCATGACACTGGCCCCACCTCTATAATGCTTTTAGAGGCCTTTGTTTGCTCTGCTCCCGACTTGTATTGTTTCAATGGACTTTTGAGCTTGATTACTGTTCGTTATCTCCATACTTCCTTCAAACACTTCTAAAAGAAGTCGAAAGATGCAAAAGTGTATTTTTTTTCCAAACTCCTGCAATGTCTTAAAATCCTTGCATTATGTACGTATCAATTCGAAAAATTACCTAAAACAAACAAAAATTTCTATCCCATTCAATAATTGTAAAACAACTTATAATAACTTAAATGTAGAGCGAATAGGTCATCAAATATAATTTATGAAAAAAGATAAAGACCCCGGGGTTTTAAGGTGGGTGTCCTCAGGCACTTGTGTTACTTGCAGATGATATCAATGTAATCTAACTATTCTTTGGGTTTATGTATATCCCAAATTACACGTTTGCGATATAGATATCGGTCTTCATCCAAGGCTCTGAAGTTAGGATAAGTGAGGTTATGGCATTTTTAAAAGATATATCGTAAGTTAGGACGACTTTGGGAGACAATCTCAGGACTAAGATGTTCGTAAGATACGTCTGAGACATACCAGTTTTAAAACATGAACATGCCTACAAAGTTAGAGATACACATGTTTTGCTGTTAAAAAAATTGAAGTTGCTCCCCCTGACTTCATTTAAGAAATAAATAACAAGTTTAAAAACTTCAATGGGAATTGAAGTGGGTCGGTCACGTGATCAAATCCTGTGAAGGCCGAAGGCCTTCTCAGAAGATTTGATCACGTACCGACCCACTTCAATTCCCATTGAAGTTTTTAAACTTGTTATTTATTACTTATATATACATTTGAGATGGACAATTGAATGTAATCGAATATAAATATTGCACTAACCGCACGTCGTAGATTTCGACAAATTACGCTAGGTGTAAATCGGCTTGAAAAGCGGTTACGCTTCAAATTCATCTGGCAAAGGATTCTGTTTTGAAGGGAATATTCTGTGAAAGGCTACTTGCGATCAATTATAGTGAGCATATTGGTGTCTGGGAATTTTTGTATTTATGAGAACCCATATTCGATGTTAAAAAACACAAGAAACACGTCCGATGTTTGATAATAAAAAGTTGGAGGAATTTCGGTAGGAAAGGGATGGATGGAGACACTTGTCCGGACCAGATAACTTGAAATCAAGTACAAAATTTGATCAAAACCATAAAATCTACGATTTCAGTAAGGCATATTTACAATGTATATTAATTTATGATGTTGACATGGAGACACTGGTGACAGCTTACATTGTTAAGACAACGTCACAACGATCTCGATGATGGAGGTGTGCCTACCGAACTTCCAAAGTGCAGTGTTTGTCAGCTGTTTGTGGCGTGATTGCATTACATTGATATTTTTCAACAGATTTTCAAATTTATTGTGAGTAAAGTTTAACGAAAAAAAATTATAGCATTCAGAGGTCTGCGAGAAAAATAAGGGTAAACGTTGAGACTATGCAGCTCAGACATGGAACTTATAACATGTAGTTTTCTATTCTCTATGTAAAACCGATCAAAAACTGTATTAAATACTCGTTTACATTGTAAATAAAATGATTATTATAATTTACTAGAGTATTTTGTACATTTTTATGTATGAAAAACATGCTATATTGCTTAGTGGAGTAAGTCTTTTTATGTAGATATTACTGCGCTGTGTGATTGGGTCACGTTATGACCTATGACCTTCGAAAAACTTCATACAGTTATGAAGATATTTGCTCTCTGCATGTTTATATAATAGAGAGATACCACAAATGTATATATTAACTGAAACAGGTGGGAATAGAGTTCTTTTTATATGTTGATAAAATACAGCGATATTTGACGTATTTCATTTTACAACAAATTATGATTAAATAGAATACTGATTAATGACGCTGTATATATTGAATATTTTCATTATATCTCTCGCCAGAAAGTTGTCCCATAACTAAATGCACTAGTATATCTGAGCTCTATACCGATTTTGAACAGCAGCAATAAGATGTCAAACGTGGCTAAAGATGGAGACGAGATCGGAAATACTCTCTGACCCTCTTCCATTTGAATTCTTATATATTATAATATATAGCTGGTAAGATAATGTCCTGTTGTTTTTAATCTTAAGAAAATAATAACACTTCCCTTTAGCAATTTCCCTTCTACATAACTTAACATTTAAAATGACAGTCTGCTGTCCAAAAAGAAAGGACACAGTTCCACAATAGTCGGAAAATCTGCTTGCTTTATAACCACAGAACTGTTACCTCTCATTATTTTTATTTTGTCATGTATGACCTTTAGCATTATTAATTTTCGACACGTATCATAATACACTCAGCTGAAAAAAGGCCACTAAAATATTCACAGTCATCAAATCATTGAGGGAATTCTCGCTCTGTGTAAATCAGGGGAGAAATGTACTTTGTATGCAGAATTATAAGTAGTCTAAATGTTGGAAGGGATTGAACAAAATGTGGACTGTTATGATTTTATCCTCGAAAGAATTCCTTTTTCTTGAGAGAAAGAAAACAAATCAAACAAACAAACAAACAAACAAACAAAAAAAAAAGAAGGACGATTTGACAAATATCAATATCAATACTGTCTCGAATGAAAAGTTTTAATTATTGTATATATACTTATTACTCGCTAAAATTACATGTAAATAAATCAAGTCGTTTTTTCTTATAAATATCTCGGTGTATCCCCGAAATTTTCTAGATAATTACCTTTGTGAACAACGTTTATGATGCCTGGAAATCCACTTTATGAGAATATATATGTCAAGTAAATTATGTAAATGTTTAATTCTTAGTCCGGGTCTGTATCTTTTATGATGAAAGCAGAAATTTATGCAAATATTAAAAAAGCATTGAAAGAAGATGAATACACTTCAGTAGGGTGCAAAATATTTCATTTTATTGCAATTTTATTCAGAAATTTTAAATTTGGTTGTTTTGTCTATATTTATCTAATTTTGGGCATTGACTTCTACTGGATTATAAGCTTACATGTAAATCAGATTCTCAAATCTATTATATACATCATATGGTTTCCCCATATTTATTGATTGATTGTGTGTTTGCATCCATATTGTTCACTGTTATTTTAAGAGGATAACTTGATTTATTCATAAATTATTCCAGGAATATATAAATTGTTCTGTTTGAGAGGATAAAGAAGAAGCTGTTGTCTCTAAACATTGTTGTCCTTAATCTCGTGTAGCCGGGAAATAAACATCCACAACAGAGTCTGCATGTATAAAAATGCAGAACAGAATAACTTGTAATTTTATGTCTCTCAACTAACATATTAAGATTAAAAAGATTTTTATTATGAAAATACAGTGAGATCATTGTACACAAAAACGAAAACAAAAGTAACAAAAATAAATAAAACATATGTATAAAGAAAGGATAAGAACTTCGGGAGGGAATTAAACTTGAATTACATTCAAAATGGCTCAAAACTCGTTGACAGAACACTCAATACTAGTTCAAATCCACGAAGCAATTTACAATTTTGTTCAACACCCAAAATGTAGCACCAAAAGTGTGTTTTCTTGTGGCTTTCATCGATAATTTAGCGATAGATTGAACTCCTCCCCCCCCCCCCCACCTCCCCTTGATTTGCCAAAAGAAATATTTAAAACAATTTGTTCATACTCTCAAAGTCATACAGTTCTTTAAAATCAAAAAATAACAAAAGTACCATTTCCAAATAATTTACTTGTAAGATATAAGGATTTAGCATTGTTTCATTTACTCCCATGGCCACTTATTTTGATGATCACAGACAAATGTTATAGGGTTATTACTAACCCGGTACATCGGGCCTTTGCCTTCTAAGTGGACGCTAAATGCTGCCGATACGGCACTGCCGTACGAGGAACTGTACATAAGCGGATACTCTGTGGTTACCTTGAAGCTACCTGAGCACGACTCGTATGCATTTCCGTTCGTGCCCGCGACAGGACAAGCAACCCGACAAGATCGTCCACAAGTGTCGAAGGCTGTCAAAATGACTTTTGTTGGTTTTTCTGGAGTTGGTTTTCTAATAGCAATGTAACTGACTGATGAATATATGGGTTGTCTTTCATCAACGATAGCATAATCTTTGTATCTTCCAGCATAGTTCAAACCGTCTGACTGAACATAAACCTTTGCGGCACCTGAACCAGAGGAACTACATTTCTTTTTATATTCGACTTGATTATGGATGCCGATTTGCTCGGCAATTTGCCGGAAGTTCTCTATATCGTACATATCTTTGGTGCCGTTCTGGCCAGGAAAAGTGGCATGGAAGTTGAATCCCTTTGGACGTTCAAAAAGAACTTTGATATTTAACCATACCCATTTGTTTAAATCCACTCGTCCATCTATAATAAATGTATTTTGATAAGCCTGGTTCAGAGTAGAGAGGGCTGTCTCACTGGACTGCAGAACGTTCAATGTTTTATTATCGACATTTTCATCAGTTAAAGGTTGTGGACCAGTTGTAGTTTCCACTGGGCTTAATGCTGTTGGAGGAAGTTTTGGGCCGTAAACTGTGCCTTGTGGTTGCTGGCCGACACTTCGCTTTTTCCTCGACATCCAGAAAAAGTTCCTTGTCCTTGGGGCATTAGATCTAGAAACGCACACTTGACTTCGGCAAATCAGATATGGACTTCCATCACAGCTAGGACATCTAGGCATTGGTCTATAGGTGACCATTCTATCATAGGTGTCTGACAGAGCTTCTAAGTTTGAAATGGGGCGGAGGAAGGGTCTGAAATCTGCTCTTTGATAAAATTCGTGGCCATTTGGCACACCATGGCCCATTGGATAATCCCTTTGCGGATCTACTCCCCTTGTTCTCTGAAGACCTTTAAATGCTATCCATATAAGCGTAAAAAATGAATGAATGAAGTAGAAGAGAGGATCAAACCAAGCGGTATTAAGACGAGCCATATGTCCATCTATCCAGTTGTGGACGCCATTATGATGAACCTCCACAGAATAGACAGATAGTCCTCTGACTGGCTCCGATATTTCAACTAGTCTCCTCCTGCTTAACATTGCACGGATTCCCTGTTTTCTTGCCAAAGATTCACCAGCTAAAACGAAACGATTATACTCAGAATATTCATGACTGAAAATTTTTCTTTTGATTTTTCAAAGAAAGAAATATAGGAGGATTAGAGTTCATTAAACAATCACGTTGAGAAACAGGATAATATTTATCCTTAAGGTAAAATATTAACTAAATCATACATTTACAAGTTTACATTCTTCTATTAAAGGTAAACTCATTGAACTCCTATTAAGTACCTGATCCGATATTTCTGATGATCGGAGTGCCGATTACTGTTCTCCAGTGTCCAAATGGGCCATCTCTGACAGCACCATTACCGCTCCCAAAGAACAGAGGAGACCAGAGAATGGAGTTAGTGGGATCGTTCATATCGGCATCCATTGTCATATCCCAGTAAGCCATCGGGGTACGACAGGCTGTTTCCATACTGAAAAAAGTTATAACTGACTCCTTAACAATATGATATATGGGAAGAGAAAATTTGGTTCTGCTAGTCTTGATCCGATTGCATAGTTTGTTAAGGTATGATTTCAGCCAGAGTGGTGGGGTTCTCTTTGGATTTGGAAAAAGTATACTTACATTAACATCATAAGAGCATGTCTTGGAAAGAAACCAGGGCCACCGTGCATATTTCGGGCTGCTCTTCCGGAGTGTAATGAACCAATCAAATCGTAGGTACTCATACTTGAATCAATGGACTGAAAACAGAGAAAGCATAAACAATTAATGGAGAGAGAAAGGGGATTTTTCATGCTGCTGAATTTCTCATATGTGATAGGTGATGCCCTGCACAAGTTCCGTGTCAATGATGTCGTTTTTATGATTGATTAATAAATTGTCAAAATGGGTTCTCCAGCCAAAAAAAAAAAATGATTATAGCTATAAACATTTATCTGATGAGCGATTACGTTTATCTGTTGACACCTGTGGTAAGGTAAAGATGAAATTGAAAATGACAGCTAAATGACTTTTTAAGAAGAACATTAAGTTCCTCATTTGACAATAGTTCAGGCGTTAATGATTGCTATACGATAAGCTATAACTACGATGTATTCTGGGCACTTTATGTCAAAGTGATCTTGACAATTAAAACGTTGATTATAGAGTGACAATTAAAAACAAATTTAAGCTTCAAAAACATGATGTTACCTGGAAATAAAGTTATTGAAATGCGACCCATGTTTCTTTTCTTGAACATATTTTAATATGGGGAATTTGTTAAGTAAAGCTGACACAAAAATTACTTGCTCAATGTAGACAAAATTTGAAAAACTTCTCATTAAATTTGCCATTAAAATTTAGATAATGAAATTAAATTGACTTTGAAAAAAAAATTTACAAACAAAGTTGTGAAGAAGCAAGTTTAAGGAAAAAAACAAGTCTTTTGGTACTATTTTCTGTAACCCATTGTTCTTAGTAATTTAATACTACAGGTTTTACCTTAATCGCTGAACAATTAGTCATCAGAATTAATAACAAATTCCACGACAGAAAAGTTAATAACTTGGATCGGTTTTCGAAGTCAAAATTTTTATTAAAATGACATAAAAAGTTCATCTTCACCCGTTTTGAAATTAAATCTAGAATACTGCTTGGAAGAAAATGAATTAGTTAACACTTCTCATTGTACAGCTGTAAAACTAGGTTTAACATATTCATTTTAAAGATGATTTCAATTGTTTTATTCAGCCACGGTAGATATAATCAGTATGTTTCTATATAATTTTGAATGTAATGAAAAGTTCCTTTTTAGAAAAACTTACATAATCATTCTTAAGTCTATTGAAACAGCCGGTGAGTCTCTGATACTGCGCCCTTGATAGTGTTCTGACTTCCTGTCGAATTCTCCATGTTTGGAAAGTCTGTCGTTTGCTCCTCGGTTGCTCATGGTTCTTCTTAATCTCGTGAATTTCTCCATCCAGTTGTCTGAAAAGGGACTCCAGGTACCTGACGCCTTCTTTTGTGATGTTGTGTTGTAAGACAGGCTCATCCATGTTTAAGGCTAGTTTGGTAAAACAGTAGTTTTGGATGAACTGGCCTGGTGTATCGGACATGCTGACGTTACTGGACTTGTATAAGAAACACTCTTGTAATTCCTTTGGTGTTGGGATCGGTGTAAGTAATCCTGGAACGGTCGGCAGGGCAACGAGTGCCAAAACCATACAAAGCATGGTTGCTCTTCCTCGATTCATCTGGGATTGAGAAGAAAAAAGGGAATAAAGGGAATGTATGTTTGGCATTAGCACGAAGATTAAAATTTTACAAAAAAAATGCAACCTTATATATATATATATATATATATATATATATATATATATATATATATATATATATATATATATATATATATATATATATATAAGCATATGTAAATAGAATAATAGAATGATCATCTTAAATAAAGAGACATCACGTATAAAAAAGTATAGATCACTAAAAAAATGCATTGATTGAATTAGTTAATGGAAAATTCTTTTTGATCAAAGAAGCTCAAATAGCTAAATATGCTAATGTCCTGTTGTGATCGATAGGGAAAAAACTACATGCTTACATAGGAGAATTCGTGACATTCTCTTTTTTTTTTTTTTTAAAGTTCTACTAAAGCTAAAAAAAGAAATCTGATGTAAAACACATTTTCTATTGTTTCTTTAAAAAGCATGTCCGTTACTGCATTACGTTCAATATATTTTTATTAAATTTACTTTACTTGATTATTTAAATAAATAAATGAGAAATATTTACAAAAATCATTATGAAAAGAATTGAAATTTTGCTGCACTCTACGGCAAACGCAACAAAAGTTAACATCTTGACATGCTGAAAAATTGCCCTGAACATTTTTCAAGAGGCGAAAAGTTCAAAATCCAGTGAGGCTTGTATGAGACAATATCTTAATATCCTGTTATCATTCCTTATAAAATGCATCACTTTTAATCTTGACCAAGAATAAGGACACAAAATAAAATCCAGAATGCAACATTCAGATAAAACAAACTTAATTTTAAAGTTTTCTGTTCAAGATCACCATCCATATCACCCTTCTCCAGAAATAAAGATGTAAAATAAAGGTAAGAAAGCAATACTTACCTTCCCCACCGTTCCTTATTTCCAGGTAAAAGTCACGGTCCCTTTCAACTGTTACCTGTAAATATATATAGAATGCCAAGTGAAAATAATGAAATCTGATTGGATTAGGAGATTTGACAAAAAATTTGAATACGAGAATTTAAGAAACATACATTGAAGCTGTCAAAAATTAGAAGTTTAATAAAGTTATTAATAATGAAGGGCGTTTCGTTGTCCTCGCTTGTCGATTGTACAGTACATCTTCCAGGTTACAAACTGACATGCTATTGTTCCGTCATGATTTGATTGCATATTCATTTCATCTTGTATGTTGCAATGATTAGTTTAATTGGAATTCATAGTAATTTTTTTTTATTTTATTATATTATATATATATATATATATATATATATATATATATATATATATATATATATATATATATATATATATATATATATATATATATTAGGGATGTCAATTTTATTCGGACAGCTTAGTCGAATAGTCGGAGGCTTTAGTCGAACGATAGTCGAATATTCGTTGAAATTAAAATTAATTTTTCATGTCATTTTCACTATTTGTCTTTTATAGACTAGTTGTAAAATATTTAACCTACGCTATCACCATTATACAGCGAATTTCTGAATCGTAAACATTTACGTAGTACAATAAATACTGTACATCTACATTTATCCAATGTATTTGATTTCAAAAATTATTATAATATTCACCTCACATTATATCTAAATGCAGGATATCAAACGCTCGCATTTGTCCTTTCATTTCATAACGATTAGTACCCGTAAATTGTAGCCATTTTCTACGTGTCGTTTCAGTGACCTTTGACTGGTAAACAATTAAAGCGTGCCTCTTATAAAAACAGAGAGAGCTTGCGATAAATTTTAATTATGACATTTTGTGCAAATAATCAATACGATCTTTAAATTACTGCATGATATTAATATAAGAAAGAAACACCATTTAATTACGCTCATAACTGTCCCCCAGTTTACATGTATTTACAATTTTGTAACAGCTGTTTAATTATTCTTTATGAATAGTTGCACTACATCAGATCTTATGGAATTTCAGGTGAAACTTTATAATTTGAATCTACAAAACCAAACAATTCTTGAACGTCCTCTCCATTTACAACAATAAGTGGCAGACAATCCTTGATAATAATGTTTGTGATAGCAACATTTTTCTTTCCGGCTCTGCTTTTTTAGCATTTTTTGCGGATAACTTACTTTAGAAAAGTTTCACTTGAAGACTGTGTTTACTACATGTATGTTTGACGGATTCGGCATATGATATTTGATGTTCCACTGCAGAATACAAGTTCAGTTTCACATAACCTTGATAACGTGTTTTTAACTATTTTTCCATCCTGACATCTTTTAAAGTATACAACTGTAGATTTTGGAGGCATATTTGCCGAACATAAATCGTTATACAAATAATTTCCTTTGAACAGTTAAACCATACCCTGAGTTTTACTTACGAGAACACTGATCTGTAAATAGATGAAATGGGCGAATCCAAGTTTATTAACTTGAATTTAAAATTACTTTTAGGTAACACATTTTTAATGAATAACCGACTAAAGAAATTTTAGTCGATAGCCGGTATGATCGAACGATAGTCGAATACTCGAATATTCGTTGACATCCCTAATATATATATATATATATATATATATATATATATATATATATATATATATATATATATATATATATATATATATATATATATATATATATATATATATACACATGTATATGTATATATAAACAAGCATGAAATCTATTTAAATTTATAAATATTGCTTTCATGTTACGTACATGTATATTTGTTCTTATATATGATGTTACATAGTGTATAGTACTGTATCATGGAGAAGAAATATGATCAAATCTTCATTAAAAGGAGTCTAAATTCTATTATAATCGTATATTGTGAAGTTTCTTTTCATACAATTGTTTCTGTTAATTTTTTAACGTTTTTAACGTTACTCTTTCAATATCAATTAGTGCACAAAAATTGATTTGAACAACATTTAGCAGAATGAATTTAAATTAAAGGGAAGTGGTACAAACAATCTACTGTTTTTTTTTCTTTATAAATTCTCATATTAATTGCACTTCGAAGTTTTTTGCCTGCATTCTTCATTAAATTAGTCATTGAATAAGTTACATGTATGATCGATCGTTTTCCAGATTAATCAAGAGTTCCAAAATATTTTGGTTTGACTAAACCCGTATAGCTTTCAGAAGATTTTTTAAGAAAGAAAAAAAAATCGACGTATATTGAATATATTTGGGTCGTATTATTCTTTGATCGGTAAAACATTATCTGAAAAAAAAAAAAAAAACAAAAACAAAAACACTTCTTATTTGAAGTTATTTATATCTACCAGCTTAATAGGGTCATACTGCAAAATCATTCGAAATTCAACAAAAAAGATTTCAGAGTAAGAGAATTGTAGAAAAAAAATCTAAATTTACAAAAGAAATTAACTGTTGGCCAAATCTGGTCAAATTCCCACAAAAATCCATGTAAAATGTTGCTGTATACAACAGTACAATTATTATACATTTAATAAAATCTCGAAATTTAATCCAAATTGTTACAAAAATATGTTTTAAGAATTAAATGACTAAAATTTGGTAATTTATATATTCGAATTCCATTTCAAAAGAAGCAAAATTTTTCTCTGAAATTCTGCGATAAATTATGATATATTAAGTTTGAATATTTCTCACTGTTTTTTAACACAATGTATTTTTAAAAGTCGATTTTAAATCGATACAGTATACAAATTCCTTCAAGTTTTTTTTCTTTTGAAATCCTGTGAAAACCAGTTTGACCTTGGAATCTTTCGTATACAGTTGAACCCTAAATCTCAATGCGGTAAAATTTCATAACAAAGTACTAAAATGCTGTAAAATTTTCAATAATCAAACCTTTTTATCGAAACTTTATTTACTGATACTCTATCTATTTTAACTTTTTCATAACATTTCATTCAGATACATGTATACATGTATATGCAATACTATATAAAATATTAAAATATACATAACGTTAGATTTCGTCTATCGCCGCAGGGCAACAATGTACCGAAGTCGTTATGACTTTTCTATTGGACACTAATTTTGAATCTGATGATACATAAGTTTTGCGGAAAATGGAATGAATTTAGAAATAACAATTGGAATAATTTTAAGATAACAGCTCAGAACAAGAAGGTTAATAGCATTGTGACAGTAAAGATTATTAAAAAGAAGCGCGAGAGAGATTAAAAAGATTTGCTGATGAACTGAAAATGAAAATGAGTACCGAAAAATAACGTCATAACGACGTCGGTAACATTCTTGCCGTGACCTAACGCTGTGTTTATCTTATTATTTTACAAAGTATTTTATATTTTAAATTTTAAGACAATCAGAAAAAAATTGATAGTGGTAATAGTATCTTTTAAATTTGATGATAACTTTCGATTATAAAGATTTTACAGCACTAGTGACACTAGTGGATTAACCCTCGTGTGTGTATATATATATATATATATATATATATATATATATATATATATATATATATATATATATATAGGCAACCTTCAGAATGCTTCATGGTTATAGTTTAAAAGACTAATTTCATCTACATATTTTGTTTTGTTTTGTTTTTTTTTAAATTCGACAAGGACAATTTTTTGTAGAAGTCAATTCAGCATTAAATTTTACAGATCGTTGCTTTAAACATAGCGTTGGGATTCCTTTCAACCAAAGTTACTTATACAGGTAACAGTTTTCTTTCCATTTTAGTATATATTCCATATACCGCTTATTTTTAAAATGGAAATTAATCTAAAACAGATCTGATATATTTTTCTACAAAAGATTATTTGGAAAACCTTATCAAAATAAAACAAATAAAATATTCTTCATTTTAAATAGTTTTATAATATGGCCTTTCAAAAAAAAAACAACATTTGCATATCGTACAGTAAGTTTGCTTTTCATTCGAAGTCAGTTGACGAATACATGAAGTACATCAAATTTGTAAATAGCAAGTACATGTATATAATTCGGATACTCATATACAAATCTTGATTTCATATAATTATTGCTTCAAGAAAAGGGTTAGGTCAATGTTGTAAAATAATTTAGCTTCATTCCAAATGCAAACATTAAATTAAGGGTACATTTATACATACTATGCTTTCATACTTATCATCTAGTTCCATTCATACTACAGACTCGAAAACCACAATAACCATAGGAAATTATAATAAAATTTAAGGACATTCAAGTGATGTTTATTTTACCATATTTTATTCAATACTATGAATATTATATTGAATATGTTTTATAATTATTTCAATATGGCTCTATATGAACAATTTTATTTATTGCCCTACAAAAAAGGAAAAAAAAAACAAAACATTTTTCTATGCATTTATCTTTCATTTATATTGATACGCTTGATAACATTCATGCTAATTTACTGATAGAATTAGGTCAAATTGGTTTCTGAGAATCCATGACTGAACAAAGCCAGACGAGCATTCAAAGCGATGACCAAAAATCTACAGGAAAGAGGAGGAAAACTCAAACAGTAATTATTTTCTTTCTATGTTAGCATTACTTTTTATCCAGTATCCAATATTTTATATCTGTTCTTCGCAAATGTGGTCTTTCTTATATAAAAAATAGTTGATTAAAAAAAATACAATGCATTTAACCACAAAGGCAATCCTAGAAACCAGTAGTTGTGCATATCATTGGTACCTAGATGTTTTCTACGTAACTGCATCTATAAGCACATAACTCAAATGCAACTTAAACTGATTAATTTTACAAGGAACATCCACAAAATTTTCTTCAAAGGCCTTGCAAAATATGCTTAGTATAATTCCCTTTAAAAACATTTACACATTTTTTACCTTGCCAAAACCATGTCTTGACAAATGCTGAATTTCTTATAAGGAAATTTCAAATACTACATTGATGCTTATAAGCAAATATATCGAGGCTTGGAAATTTTACGACAATAATTCTGGACAAAAAT